AGCTCAAATTAGGTTAATAAATAAGCATTGTGGATACTGAGTCCCATATACCACCTGAATGTGCTTTGAACAAGTTAAAATTCTTGAAAAATTCAGATGAAATGGGGATGTATTACAAAAAAGTTTATGTACATGGGTGGATTACTACACTCCTTACAAAAGAATGCTGCCTCTTGATAGAAGAAAGAAATCAGTAAAGTCAGCTGCTCGTTTACATGACCAAGTAGAACTAGAAAAAGACTAAAAAAATGAAGGCTCTAGATTTTATTATATAATTCTTTGGATAAATAAATATGTTGCTGATTTGGGAAGACTGATGTGGTTCAATTGCTGCTGCAGATAAGTTCACAAGGAAATGAGCACTTTTCAGACTATCTTGCTTACTATTAATTGTTAAAAAAAATAGCTTAAATTCAGCTATGGGGTAGTTGGAATTTTATAATGAAGGAATTTCTGATGAATATTTTTGCTATGTTTTTACATTTATGTTATATTTGAATTAGACATTTTTGAATCATACATGAGCAGCAGCTGCAAAAAGACAATCTGAGCTTTTTAGAGTACACTGTGAAAAATATGGAACCGCTAAATTCCGCTTCTGAGTGTTCTTAGATGAATTGAGGCAAAGTTTCTCTTGGAATTTTGCTTGAATGTGTCCTATAGGATTTGTCCTAGTTTTGCCTGTCTTCAGTAAAAACAACAGTGCAACTGGTCTGTTCTTTGCCTGTCACAACAAAAATGGTTCCTTGAAACAAAGACTTACAATGTCAATTCAGTACGTTGTATGAATATTGACTGTAACTCATCTTAGTCAAGAACATTATAAAAAGAGAACTGCAAACGGATTGAAAAAAAGCAGAGACTTTGGAATGAAAAGATTCAGTTGTTTAAAAATAGATTGGGTCCTTTGTGACTATTTAAAAAAAAGGTATAGCAGTCATATTTTTAAAAATAAAATAGCTCTACTGTGCAACTTTTTCTTTATTCCAACAGAATGGGGTTGTGTTGAATTTCAAGGCTGACCCTGGAAAACATTCTAGGTGGCAAAGCAAATATCAAGGCTAATGTCAAATTTTTCTAATTTATATCTCTCCTATGCTTTCAGAGTCTGGAAGAAAGACAAAGTCTGACTGGATTGAAGGTATTATATTCCCACATATGTCTCATGAAGAGATTTCTTGGAACTAAGAAAATCATAGAAGAAAAATCTCTTATTCTCTTTGGCTTAGTATAAGATGTGAGTATGTGAAGGGTAACACTCAAGCAAGGCTTTTCAAAATCTCTTGTTTCAGACTGATAGTCATTCCGGTGGCGGGTATCCTCAAATAATGAAATTGCTATCAGCAAATGACCCTTCTCCAAGATCACATGAATGCCACTGTGCTGTGGAAGAAAATGAGGTCGTATTTCGCTTAAGGACAGAATGAAAGCTGGAACTGATTTCATATTTTCCCCCCATGTTTTCTTTTCCAGTCTCAGTCATATCTGTATGGTTGATGGTTAGCAGGGTGCTTTGCTTCCGTGTGAGGAAGCATTTGTTATTGCTTGCTCGCTATTTTCCATAGTAACACAATGTCTCTGTTTAAGATCCAGTGGAGATGAGCAAACAGAAAAGCCTTTAAGAAGCAGTTTGTAAAAGAAGCTAAATTAAACTTAACTCCTTCAGGTTAACTGTGCAGTCAGTATTTATTCTGGTATCCAAAAGGTCTCATCAAGGGTCAGAATGCCCTCAATCTTTAAGCACAAGAATGGACATACTGGGTGAGATCCACTGTCTCCTTAGCACAGAAAGCCATCTCTGCCAGCACTGGATAGCGGATTACTATGGAAGAACACAAAAGTAGGGCAGGCATGACATGATAAACGCTCTGCTATATCCTTTACCTCCTTTCCTACCCAAGTTTCTACAAGCTGCAGCTGAGGAACTGTTGTGACTAGAAGAGGTGCCTGTGTTTTTAAATGCAGGTATGTACAAAGTAGTTAGATTGGAGATAATTTTATCCTTTATTTACTCCACTAATGGCAAGAGACAAATCACAGTTTCTGTATATGGTTACACACTGCACTCATTGGAACATGTAAGAAAAAACAGACACAAATCAGAGATGGGATCAGAGACTACTTGAAAGGTCCAAATCATTTCCTGAGCCTTTTAAAACAGTGGAATCAGTATAGAAATGCACAGCATTAAAATATCTATGCTGATGACCACATTTTGTTTCCAAAGAATTAGAAGAGCAAGCGAATCATAAAATAAGACTCATGTCACACTGTGAAAGATGAAGTATCCCAGAAAAATACTCAGCACATGGAAAAGGTACAAGAACACCGGTAAGGATATACACAGCAAATGGTTTTTGGCCCAGCCTGAAAACTGACGTATTTGCAGGACTTTGTGCACAAGTGCTGCCCTTGTAGCATAGAAGCAGTAGCCATTTACAACCTGCATTTCTTTAGAATCCTTTTCCCTACCATATACATTACCTACTTGGTAATAGCAATAGTAGCTAAGAACAACAGAGGTAGGTAAAGAGCACTGCCTGCACAGTATTTCCTGCAAAAGATTCTGAATTGAACAGACCATTCACCAGTACTGCCAAATCTTTTAACTTTTGTCATAAGTCCATCAATATATGAAGGGTGCTTCAAGCCTTAAGTCCTGGAGTAATTTCCTATATCATATTGTTGGTACTTTTCCATTCCTTGCCCTTATGTTTATGTCCTTCATGACTGTGCATAAAACCTTGAAACACATATGCTAAAGTCTGAGAATGCAACAAATGAAAAGAATTATCAATTTTTAGCTCCTGTAATTACCAAACCAAACCCAGTTCACACGAGCCTTGTTCAGGCAAGCTTGCCAAAACCTCACAGAGTTGTTTGACTTGCTACAACAGCCCTGATTTTCCATCAGCATGGTCTATTTATTTAGTGTCTGTCCAGTCAGGGGTGCTCTCATTACTTTGACATGACATCCTAAAGTAGTCATGTACTTACTCTTCAATTTAGAAAAATAAAAAATTGTCACTGCTTTGAAAATAATATTTAAAATAAATGTTACCTAATCTCTGATTGCTCACAAGCAGTTCTTGTTCATTTTCCATTTAATAGAGATAAATTTGGATTTCAAGTATAATACTCTGATATTTCTACTTTTAAAAATCATTACAAACCATATGGAGGTGGTTTGCAAATACTAGCAAAACATGCACTGTGAGAGCAGCAGTGCTCTGGTGAAAAGGACACTGAGTACATCTGTGGCACTAAACCTGCATTATATGGGAAAACTGTTTGTTTAAACATGTCTTAAAATGGCTTTTGGTGGTCTCTTTGCAAACACATGCTTCTTCTTCCCAACACCCCCCACGGTAGTGTTATCTCAGGAATGTCCTGGGAAGATGTCCTAAGGTGTTCTCATTGGTCCTTGTTAACCCCTTCCTGTGACTGGGTGTTCCTGTAAGCCCCTTGAGACTTCTAATTGGTTACTCTGTGAATCCTCCTAAACCCTATAAATGTAACATCCCCAACAATAAACGCTCTCTTGCCTCCTCTCCACGCCCGGTGTCCCGTCTCCGTGCCGGCCATGGGGCTACGTGCGGGGGGAAGGGGGGAGTACCTCTCCCCTCCAGGCTCAGGGTCAGAAGAGACCCCTGAAGAAACCCCTGGAGTTCCCTTTCCCCATCCTTCAAGGCATCAGAATGGTTCATCAGATGGAGATGGAACCAGAACTGGGCCGCCCCACGTCGTGGGTGGGGAAAGGGATCCAGATACATCAGGGCAGGAGGAAGGGTAAAGACTTAAGTCTGTAAGAAAAACCCTATCTTTTTGTCATCTAAAATGGCATAAGGACACTATTTTCTCTCATTTATGGTTTTCTTCAACTTCATTTTCATGGTTTGTTTCATCACCAGACCCACAGAGCTGAAGAGCAGCCATTTTACACATGACTTAGAGCTATTATACTGTATAAAAATATTTATGTAGGATAATATAATTGGAATTTTTCCTCTTCTACATCAAAATTGTGGTTATAGACACTTTTAAATATGCCCAAAGATTTATGAAAATACCAAGTGACAGTGAATGATAATATAGATTTTTGCCTCATAAACATGGAAGCAACAGACTGACACAAAATAAATAGCAGCACAAAAGAGAGGAAAGAGAAAATGAAAAATGCTCAGAAGTGTAGGTCTTCAATCTAAGCATGCAATAGCAACAGACCAAGAGCAAGAAGACACACAGGAAAGCATACTGCAGTTTATTTAGAGGATTTCTATTTTCATGATCCAATCTGACAGTCTTTTGCAAAAGCTACATGTATGGCATGGGATGTTTTTGGAGTAATTTATGTTACACAACTACGTGTTTCTTGTTTCTTGTAGTAACTCTTACTACTGGCTAACTTCTTTGACAAGCGCATCTATGTCACAAACATAAGACAAAAATAACTACTTAAAGTCTGAATCAATTTCTAAAGTTTATTTACATGTGGCTGTAATCTACCACCAAAATCCAGACATGCTGACAAAGTACCTCAGATCCTGTGTGATGTTAGAGCTGTCAGCTTACCATCCATGAGGTCTGAAGAACGTTCCTCTCTCACATGTCCATTTGCAGATCTGATGTGCATGTGCACAGAAATTTTGGCTTTTTACTGTGTGGTAAAAAGCAGCTCACATTGCTGGCATACAGGACCATGCTGGAACACCTGAGCCTGCCAGATCACCTGCACCAGCACATTCACCACTGTGAGCTGTGCAGCAGCTGTGCCTCAGGAGTAATGCAGTCCCCTTACTGTCCCCAGCTGGGGGTAAACATCCACGGCATTCAGAAACAAATGAAGGAAAGGAGAATGTAAATTCAAAGGAATTAAAAAAAAAAATTTCAAGTCAAAATATTCTTACTGCTGTGAATGGGACAGTTCTGGAGCTGCCTCTGCTTCACCTCAGGAAGGGGTAAGTGATACACACAGGTCTCTCACAGAAAGAGTAGGAACCCTGAGGGAAACCCTTGGCTCTCTCTATCTCCTTGCTTCGCACAGCCCCAGCTTCTCCAAGCTCTCACCACTCTGCTGCCTTCTGGATCCATGACAGGCCTCTTCATTTCAACGTATTACATGTATTTATTACATTCTGATTAAAACTGAAGAGTATGGTTTCAAAAGGTACAGCAGGCTGATGAAAAGCTTGCTGCTACCAAAGGCAGAGTGTGCGCTCACCTGCCTCCTCTCCCCTTCTCACCAACAGGTTGGTGCTGGCACTTGCCGGAGCCCTTCTTATGTGCCAATTCCATTAGGTAAAATAGCAAAAAACCCCACCCAAAAACCAAGGAAAAATGGAATAATTCTTTGCAATTCTAGTGAATTAAATTAGAACACAGCAGGGCCTAGAGTGTGACAGAGCAGGTGTAAGAAAGGAGGTGTGCAGTCAGCAGCAGGAGGAGTGGGAAGAGGAGGCTGAAGAGATTAAGTCTCCTCTGGACCCTGTTGGTTAGCTTATCGAATTTCAGTCCCTGGCTTATCAGCCTGGCATTGTCAGGCCTTTCCCTTCAGTCACTGGTATGTGCCAATGGAGTGCTGCCACCATTTTGGACCTTGGCTAAAGCATCCATCACTGCGCCTCTCACTGCTCAAAAGGGCTACCAGTAACGAGCTTTCTCCTTTACAAAACATAAAAAAAGTTCCTAGGACAGGTATTATTTTTGTAATATTTAGGAACTGATTCTACCATTATGCTACAATGGCCAAAATGCAGCCTGAGCCCCATCCATGAATGAAAACTAGAACCTGCCACAGTGTCTAGATGTGCACATTCCCAAGGTTTTGTTCTAAGAAATAGCCTTCTAGAGAGTAATGTTAAACTTCCCCTGTGCAAGGAAATGGACTGATACAAATGCCTGTAACTTTTCTGAAGTGGGATGTAAATATTTTTCTTAAAAATCACTCAATAAATCCATGAAGAAAATGCTGTGCAGGCGAAAGCGTTATAACTTGCATATGGATTAATCTAATAAAGTGTTCATATTGGCATAATATCAGAAAGCTCTCTTGAGGGTGATAAAATTTAGCAACTAATGTAGCATGTATTTTTATGCCTTTCCTGGAAAACTGAAGAGAGCAAATCTGTTGCCTTTTAGCTTTGCTCATATCCTTCATCCCACCCTACAGACAGAAGATTTTTTATGAGTACTAGGGGCAGATTGAAGAGTGTCTAGTATAAAGGCATAGCGATAGCAAAATACAGTGGTTGAAGTTTAAATCAGCAAATTTACAACAGGAAATAAAATATATTTTTAACACTGAGGTATGTAACTACTGGAGCAGTTTACCACAGGCATGAAAAACTCAGCATGTTTTGCACTCCTTGAATTTGAACTTGTAGTCTTTATAAAAACATATTTTCTACTGTACTTTTTGGGGTAGCCATGGAAATTGCCAGACAGGATAGGCAGGAGGTCAGTTCAGGCCAAACCATTATAGCCATCCCTTTTTACTACAAACTATGATTATCATCTTCTGTACCTAACAAGCCATAGGCTGATAGCCTTTTATTTCTAACAAAATTGACTTGAAGGCTCAAGCTGGAGTGTGCATTCCCTGATTCCACTGAAGAGCAGATGTCCTGGGTGACCTGCAGAGAACTGTGAATTTGGAAGAAACACTACAGTTAGGGCCAAATACAGTGAGTTCACCTTACATGACTATGGATTTTAGAGAAAGTAATCAGCCCAGAGTAATGCAAGTGCTATACAGTCATACATCTTTTGCTTTTCAGTTTCATTTAGTACTGGTCACCTCCAAAAGAGTATTTGGAAAGTCTTTTTTTGCCTATATTGGCAATTTCCCCAAAGAACAAAGACAGAGATGTCATTGATTTTAATTTCACTAAGTGTATTCGTTGTAATTATCCACTACCAGAGTCCATGTTACCCAAAAAAGAGAATCGAAACCTAACTTCAAAAAAACCTGACAAGTGTCAAGTCCTATTACCTGTTGACTTGAATAACTGCACTTGATATGGGATAATTTTTTGTCTAACATTCACTTAGAACCAAATGTTTGAAGGGAAAATTTTGTAGAAAATAAATAAGAAAAAACAATAAGCTGTAAACATCAACACATAATGTAAAGCTATGGAAGATTACTTAGCAACAGTAATGCAATTAAATCAATATTCTGGCATCAATGCTATGTATTTCAGGACTACAAGTTTTGGTATTTTCCAGAGTCTTTCACCTTATAGCTGCCCATTAATTACCTTCATTTTTCAGCTGGCAATACAAACAATGTAAAAATGTTTAGTCTGCTGCTTGTGTTAATATCTAGGAGCTGCAGTAGACAGAAGGTTTCCAGAACTCTAAAATTGCTTAGCTCTGATGTTTGCTAGCACGACTAGCAAGTTTTCTTTTTCTTAAAAATAAAGTAACAGATGAAAATGTCTCAAGCCAATGCCAGATTGTTCGCATTCTTAACAAAATCATTTCAGTGCAGAGCAGTAATTCCACCTCAAAATCAGTTTTAGATGTGCTTACTTACAAGTTGCATTTTAGCATTCAGTTTTGGGGCCAGGATGATTTACACAGTGGAAGATTTGCGTAAGCTGCCTTGTGTTCCCACCTCATGAATAACAGGCAGAAATGGAGGTAAAAGCAGGTCCATAAACTAGCCTGTTCTACTGGTCTTCTCAGACAGTGAAGCAATAGCATAATGAGACAAGAAGCACATTGAATGTTACTGCTGTGCTCCCACCAAGGGAAACAAACTTGATCCTAGGCATTGGCTCCCTCAGTCACTTGTTGCAAACCAGAGTATAAACATGGATGTGCATAAGAGCTTTCCATCAAGCCTGGCATCGGACCAGGCTTCCTCATTGCCATATAAACCATCCAGTGCAATGCTTCATCAAAACTGACTGCAGATAGCATAAAATTCCTTTTCTGAAGTACCCATTTAGCAGCAGCAGACAATTCAATATTGAGAGAAATCCTAGCAAACAGCATCAGCTAGGACCCTGTGTCTAAACTTCTACTGACACTTGGTTAGGAGGTACCATCAGCCTGCCCGGTCACTTAGCAGGACTGTAACTCTGTCAGCATTCCTTGGACTAAAGCTTTTCTGTGAGTAGCAGCATCAACTGCTCTTAGTGTTACCTCTTTTTTTTTACCAGTTGGAAGCTAACTGAATAGATACAGGTGAGATTCAGTGCTGTTCCTTAAAAGGTTTTGCCAGAGACTAACAGTGTGAATATTTTGATTTACACTTGCTTGCTCAGGCTCTTTTTGCACTGCAGCTGCAAAAAAAAAAAAAAAAAAAAAGTGGCAATTCAATGACCTACTAACATTTTCCACATAAAAAGCCAGCAGCAGAACTGGCATATTAACCTAGTTCCTCATGTTGCAGTATGTTGGCATGGATGTAACAGACAGATATGATAGGTACCCTGATCTTGCAATGTTTTACAAATGTCACCTAGCATTAATAATTAATATTTGCAGGATTAGTGTTGAAGTCACGCCCAGTGAAACTATAGGTCTGCACAGAAGAGAGAAGGTAAGCGGCCTTTGCTGCTTGTCCATGTGGAAGACCTGTTTCATCTTGTCTGTGACAACTACCGAAGACAGCAATAATGCCAGTTTACTCATCTCTATACATAAAAGAAACACGATGATGATTTCTGTCTTCAGCATTGTTGCTTCTGGCTCTTGCTGAGGCAGCCTACAGGTTTATACAGCTGAACTTTCCTCTTTTATTTTATACAGATTTTTTTTTTAATCAATATAAACACAGACCAAGGCTAAAACGTTTTAAAAATGAAGCTACAGACAAAAGAGGGCAGCTGGTCCCCAGAGGGAGGGTTTGAGCTTCCAGGTCAGAGCAAATGGGGAATTTCCTCCTTGTGTCTCAAAGGCTGTTGCTAAGGAGACCACTTTTGCTTCAATGAGGCTGTGGGATGGACTAGTTTGACATATACGCGATATTTCTGCTACTAAGAAAAAAGAAGTTCAAGCTGCAGAGTCTTTGTCAGGATGGAGCACAGAAACCCACTTACAAGGCTCTTTTTAACTGCTGTACTTGCTCCTACTGGCAAAAGTTATTAACCTCACTACTTCTTTCCTTTGCAGTCAACTTCATTTCAGTTGAGAAGGAAAATATTGCTGTGAATGGCCAGGAGATGATACCTTACTACCAGCAGAACTCCAAGGGGAGCACAAGATTTCCCAGGGAACAGCTCTCCAGCTAGGCATAATCCTTCCTTTACAAGTTCAGCAGGTAATCATTCTAAACTTAGTTCCATCTGTGTATTCTTTATTAGTATACTTTTACAATAACAGGAGGTACTATAAATGAACATGAGCTTGTTTCACCCCAGATAGTGTTCCTTTGCTACTGAATAGTTTCAATGGTGCTTCTAAGTAGCAAAAGTATTTGGCTTGGTTTAGAGCTTAAAATGACTATTTTTACATTTAATCTTCCAGCATTCCCAGTTTTCATTTTATGTTTTTTTCCACATTGACATTTGTATCAATAGATTTGACATTCACTTCAGTTGTGTGACTGAAGTTGCAAGACCTCTGTTGTCCAATCTATTGTTTCCCTATGATGATCTTTCTATGAGATAAATTATGAACATTTCCTAAAAAGGAAGAGAGAGGAGTTTCCACTGCAGCACTATTGAGAATCAAAAGGTCATTCAAATCTGATATACTTTAAAAAGTTTTACTGTTATTACTGCTTTGATTAGAAGTGTACTGTTTCACCAAAATAGTTATATGCAGGAAAGGCTGTTGGGTGGGCATCCATATATAAATGTATTCCACAGAAAATAGCTATGCAGCTTCTAAATAAATTCTACTTGCATAAGCATGTTCATTTGCACTAAAGAAACTCTGTAAAACCTTGTAGCAGTGAAACTAAGGCTCCCCCAGCAATCTATGGCTCATCTAGGAATAATAAACAATAAGCCCTTCCCCTGTTTCCTGAACCTAACTTTACAAAACAGTTGTACAATACGGAGGAAGGACATGCAGGTTTTATCAAGGAGTTTCATTCCCTGCCAGGTGAAGTGAGACTCCTTTCCACAGTAACAATGGCATGTTATATTCTTCACTTGGCTTTGGTTCCTCTAAACTCGGACACATTTTTTAATCTTTAACCTTTAAAATATTGTCTCCATCAGTGATGTAAAGTGGCTTACAGTGTACACTTGAATAGCACAGATCTTTCACATCAGAGGAAAATGTAAGCATGTGAAGCTGACAGATGGCAAAAGAGGATTCAGGAGCCTTAATAATTTCTTTTCTGTTCATCTAAGCTCTTTTATTTCACTATAATAAACACATTTATTCTCAGTCTACAGGGAAGTAAAAGTAAAAATGGAGCATGGCAAGACAACGAAGAGCAGATGTGTTTCCTTTCAATTATCTTTAAAGAGAGATTAAAATAACTTGTCTAAATAACCAATTAATTCAATAATACAAATACATGTATTTACACTTACATTTTACATGTATTTACATCAATTTACTGATTCTATTAAAGGAATATGAGCATTATTAACTGGAGTAAACAGGAACATAAACTATTTGACTCCTGATGGTCTTTTGCTTTGTACTCTTATGCTTTGAGGGAAGAAAACCAAAATATTAAAGGTGTACTAAGGAGGGTACCAAGCTCCAAAAAATGTGCCATTTAGTACCAGCTACTATTCCTACTGCTTAGAAGGAGCAGGTTCCAAAGCAGGCAGATGAGTGAGGGCTGGTGACAGCTGGAGAAAAGTAAGACTCATTTTGTGGTTTCCTAAGGCCCAAAATTGCAGCAAGAACACTTGGAAAAACTCTTGAAATGACCTAATGTGCCATGGTTTGCATGTCTTTTGTAAACTAAAAGGTAATTTTGTTATTGTTGTTACTTTTTGTTCTGGGGGGAGGTATAATCATGTTCTGCAATACATTGCATTTTTATAGAGCATTGTTTCACAAAATCAACACCTCCTTGATGCTGAGCTAGTAGGAAAGAATGAAATTTCATTGTAATGTCACTTAGATCTATCACCAATCAACTCTGGTTTCTTCTCACTTAATTACTCATCTCATCCTAAACTATTTATATCTTAGAAATACTTGGTTTATTTTTCCCACTCAGAAGGAATGCAACTAGAATAAATTAAAAACAAAAGGAAAAACCCAAATTTGCTTCAAAATGAGTGAGCATGGAGTTATTCTTCTAAAAACACTTTTAGCTCTTCATAAATTATTAAGACTTAAAAAAGAAAAAGCCTAAATCATCAGAGATTTAACTGCAGACTTCTTGTGCTGAACCTTTTTTCTTTTTTAAAGGTTTATAGTAAAAACCCTGTTTTGTTCACAATGCATTAACTCTTACTGCCTGTAGAAATTATTTTGGAAGGTATCATGTTTTAAATACGAGTTTCCAGTAATTTTCCCACATTACTTCTTTGCACGTGGGACTGAGCTTGTAGCCAGTATTAGGGCTTCACTCTTTCAAAGCTGATGTTATTCAGTTTCTCTAACACAGTCTGAAGAACTTCTGCAATATATGAAGCTGGAGCTTCTCAACACTAAACCAAAGTGAATCGCTAAGTTGCTGTGCACACATTTAAACTCCCTAACACTAGTTAGGAACTAGTTCACTATTTATGTATTTTAAATGTGTGGGGAACATTCTTTGCTAAGAAAATGTGGTCTCAGCTAAGCCGTGACAATTCCCTGTAGCCGAAGAACTCCTATCATGTATTGTTATAATTCACCTTCTCTGTGATAATATTTGTGTTACAGCTATTAAAATCTATTTAAAATAAGCCACATGCAGAAATTTTACCTTTACCAAAGAGGATGACAAATAGAAGCTGTGATCTTGTACATTATGGTTAACATCCAGGCCATCTGGGCCCAAGGAAAGTCAAAAGGAATTTTGCCATTACTTTAAATGCCACCAAGTCTTCACCAGATTTTGCAATTACATCTATCTAGTCACACTCAAGACAAATTCTTTCCCTCTTCACAATGGCATGAAAAATGAGAAATTTTCTCAGGAAATTAGAATCTCTCAGAAAATGAGAATTATATCCACACAATACATTCATAGTCACTATCTCTAGAAGGGTTGAGCTACCTCTGTGGTAGGCTTCTGTTTCCTCCAGTCCTGAGGAGGACCTTCAGTGGTGGCTCAGCTACATCAGATTCGAGCCTTCCCAGATCTGTGGAGCCTCACAACACCTTATCAATAAAGGATGAGATGGCAACTGCATAAAAACTCTCCGAGATTTCTTGACACTATGGATGTGCAGGAGGGAAGTAGCTCAGGTTCATCCTTCTATTTCATGAGGATTTACTGGAGACAACATCTCCATACTCCACAACAGACCTGCAGAGAACTGACTGTTTTGGTGCTACAGTGTGGGTCATGGTACAGGAATGTGTGTTGCAAGGCAAAATACTGCACTAATAATTGGTGGAGAGTATCCAGTCTATAGGGTCTTCCTTTCAAATGCACATGGAACAACCCTCCAGCATTCCATCAAAGCAAAACCAACCACTGCTTTGAGAACAGCCAGCTGGAAATGAGGGGGACACAAACTGGGCCTTGTAGCAAGAGGTAAGTACTGTGGGAAAACTTCTAATTCACACAAATGCTCAACCACATTTAGGTTCTTTCAAGCATTTCAGTGCTATTAGGTATCCAAATAATGTCTGGTTACGCCTGAGGCTGGACTTCCTTTCCAGAAGTAGGTCTGATCACAGGGATGTCTGAGTTCAGGAATTCAGGACTATGTTACCATAACACTATCTAGGAATAAAAACACATAAGCTAATGCAGCCTCTAACTGGTTCACCACATGACAGACTTTCTACTTAGCAACAAAAGCCAGCACTAGCATCTCACTTCACTGCTTTGCAGCCTGTAGTGGCTTCTTAAGGCCCAAGTCTCTAGCAGGCTCTTCCAGTACAAATTGGGAAGTCCGTGTACTGGCGAAATTACTTTTGGGAAACTGCACAGTCATGTGTGTACAGGAAGGATAAACTTAAACTGGAATATTTGCAGAAAAGAGCTGGAAGGATCATCAGAGAACAAAAGGCCTTTTAAGAGATTTAATAGAGCAGCTTGTTTAGTCTAGTAAAATTAAGATTGAGGGAGAAAATGAAAGCTGACAACAAACACACTGGTGAAGAGAGGTAAACACCAGGAGAAAAAGCTTTTTAGGTTAAAAGACAGCACTGGCACAAGGGTACAGACTGACCCTTAATGATTTTAGAATGTAAAAACAAGAAGGTTGCTGCAAGAGTGAAGTGATGGACCTATGACAGCAGCAGTGGAAACAAAGGGTTTAAGATGGAGTTCGGCGTTGCTATGCAAGGGTCTATTACACAATGGTCTATATATAGGCTATGATCAGTCTTGTTAACTGTGATTCTTTAATGCAGTTTTATCTTTTTAAGACCTAGTCTACAAACAAACATGTACTGAAATAACTCCAGACATTGCCTCTCCAGCTGTGAGCAGGACCTTCACACAGCAGATAAATTTCACAAAAACAATGAAATGAGCCCAGGCTCCCTTGTGAGCATCACAAAAAGAGACTTGGCTTTACTGCATTGGGAAATTGTTACTGTAGAACTAAGGACAAGCTTCAGATCTTACTGAATTTCATAACTAAATATAAAACTAATTTGTTTGATTTTCTACAGTAAGTGTAATAGGCTCAAAGACAGGCTCTGATTTTAATGATTTTTTTACTACTTCTACAACTGGGGAGAGAAAGAGTTGGGGAAAAGTGTGGTTGGGGTTTTCACAACTGTTATAAAGTGTTAATTTTTTAAAATTTTTTTGAGAAACATGGGCAGGTGCCTACCTTTAATGAAGAATTAGTCACCAGTTCCTCAGAGCAGTTTCTTCTAGGATATTGTGTTCTTAGACATCTTAAGAGCTTAGAAAAATAATTTCAGAGCTACTTTGTTTTGCTGTGCTGTATTGCCTTTACATATGAGTAGGTTTAGAGCTGTTCCCAGAATTCTCTTTCTGCTGGACTACATCCAGAGACTATACCTTAGACTTCTGTCATGGCCTAATAGTCTCATGCTGATGAAATTCCTTTTAATACTCTAATCAGAACAGATAAAAAGGGTCTCTAAAGACAGTCTCTTTGTGTTGTCCTATTGCTGGTCCAGAGGTGTCTGCTTGGCTGCCACATTTCCACACAACACAGTGAGGCCTTGCTTGGGTGTGTGGCTTGTCTTAAAATTACTAACTCCTCTTCACAAGACTTAAACAGACAGAAGCAAAGCATTAGAGCCACATCTCTTTATGATCAGGCCTAGATTTGCTGGTTTTAAATTCCTATTATATTCTGTCTGATCAGAAGAAACTGTTCATCTAGTACATTATAAAGTATACAGGCAGACTATAAAGTATCAGTTACTCTCTTTCAGCATATTCAGCTAGTGGGTAATCTTACCCATAGATCTAAACTATTTATTTATAAAACACAATTAAAAATGATCTCTGGTGTAAAACAGTTACTGTAGGAAGGGTTTGGGCCAGTTGGATCTAGCACTGCATATAAGAGAAGGGGAAAACAATCCTATAAATGGATGAGATTAAGAAGACTTATGAGATCATCTTGAAATTTCCCCAAGATAAACATCAGGAACAAGTTACGATAGAAAACAAGTGGTGATTATCTATGAATTCAAGACATACCCGACTCTTTCTGAGGTACACTGATGTTATTCTAGAGTAGTATCCTGTCATGGTTAAATTTCAGATCCATCATCTAAACTGGGCTTAGTGGGAAACTTCCAAGGCCACCTATGTATTATCTATGCATTACCTAATATAACTGAGGATTCTGTAATGGATTTTCTAATTCAGTATTAATTTCTGCATACATTTCTTATGCTCTAGACTGCTCAAGGGGTGGTGGCCACAAAAGACATAGTACTTTACTGTGGCCTTGATACTAGTAACTGGGGGAAGGAGGAAGGGGACAAACCCAGAACCACTGGAGCATTATAAACTTACATAGCTTCCCACAAACAGCTCTGTTTATGATTGCATTCTGACGAACACTCAGATCTATAGATAATATATTTTAAAGCAATAATTCTTCCTTCGTTCCATAGGAGCTAAACACAATTTCATTGTAAAAATGAGTTGAAAGATAGCAAAAGAAAATTCACAGAGCACCATGGACTCCACTTATCCTCAAGTCAGGTCTACAGCTTTCAGTTTGTCAAAGAGTTTTACTGTAGAGAAATCCAAATTCCCTCAAGCCTGGTTGGTACTGTGAGAATTCCTCACACGTGTAAATTGTTACAGCTTTATGGATGGATTTGAGATATTTCATTGTTTCTTTTCTTCCTTTTCTTTATCAAGTCCAGACATCACTGAGTTTTATAAAATGTATGTGAAATGCTATTTAAAGGAACATCTTACATTGGGGAGAGAAGGAAATCTGCCAAAACTACATCACATTTCACTTTTCAAGGTGTTCTTTTGCATCTCATTATGAACTCTTAGTTTATTTAGTTAGAATGTCTAACTGTGATATTTCCCAGTATCACAGCTTTCTAAATGTGAAAAAAGCTTCATAACTTTTTGAACTGTCCTATACCATACGCAGATTTGTAACTAGAAAATACTTTAACCAGACAGGAAAATATGTTCAAAAGAAATGTCGATTTAATCAGGAGATGTGTTTGACTAGATTATTACATGAGTTTTAGAGGGGAAAATGTAGAAGTTTAATATTTCAGAGTGTGTCCTCCCTACTTTGACTCTCTCATGTGCAGACTTTTTGCATACAAAAATGAAAAGACTTGGCTGATCTGAAAAGCTGTCACGTATCAACTAATACTTTTAATATAAATTGAACGCTGGTAGAAAGTATAATGAGTATGAACAAGTAGGTATAAAATGCAAATAAGAGTATATACTCACCTCCCTTGAAATGAAGACTAGTGGAAATTTGCTCTGTCAATAGATTTTCCCCTAAAAGGAAACAGTTCACAGAATCCAAAAAATAGCCATGCGCAAGCCCAATTGTACATATCTCTGCCTGACAGTGATGAACTTTTTATGAGGTAGTTTAAATTACATCTTTAAGACATTTCCTAAAAAGGAAGAGATAGAATTGTCCACAGCAGATTAAAAGATGTGTTAAGAAACAATGAACAAACAGTCCAAAATTGGACTCCATAGCATTTAAATTTATTTGTACTTAGCACACATCTGAATATCAAAAGACTAAGTCAAACTGAGCATTAATTTATACTTTGCCTGACTTCCTAGACTTTGTTATGGTACACAACACAGTACACAATTAGCCTGGCTTTATAAAGAAATGCAGTCTGGAAATCTCAGTGTGGGATCCTGAAGTACTTTTGGAAACCTCGTTTTGTTTCAGTCAGAATGAAAATAAGCAGCTAGACAGCAGAGAGAGACCCTTTTAGTATGCCTATACTCTCCCAATGCAGAAAAGGGTGTATCATGAAAGGAGCCCTTTTTAGACATGAAAGAAAACACACAACAGGATTTCTCCCTGCTCCCAAAGATGTGAAAACTCTTAAAAACCCTAATGCATTAGCAATGTTGGTTTATTTGTATAACTGTGCATACTTATGTCATAATATTCATATAATGTTATAGATTTTTATTCTGTACCAGAAAAAGCTGCAATACCCAGTGGGTCAGCCACTAACTTACGTTTTTTTTCTCAGATTTGCTCACTGGTATGATGTATCTTCCAACATGCCAAGGGTTGAATGATTATGATTTAATGTAGTAAGGAAGCTTTCAGAATGTGTCTTGGAAATGCAAGTTAACTGTAAGGAGAGAGAGGCAGTAGGACCTTTTCTTAATCCATATGCCATTTTCAAAAATGTGAGGAGCCCTACAAGTAGAAAACTGTAATTTATACTTTGCTTCCTCTCATATGACCCACAGAAAGCAAAGCCCAGTGGGCACACTTTAATCTGAGTGACACTTTGCAAGGTGATGGTGAAGAGGCAAAGCCCACACTTGCAGCAGGGGAAAGCTTCAGGGCTGTAAACAAACTGGTGTGCTCTTGGGCTTCTGGCTATGGGGTATGCCTGGCAACGTCCTGTCTGAGATCAGAGCAAGACCCAAGCAGACATTAATTTTCCATTCTTTTGCTCATTTTTCAGTAGAAGGAACTGAACATATGGGGCAGAGGGGAGCTAGGCATACTTTAGCTTTGTGTTGATGCTATTCCACTGAAGGCTTTTAGCTTTCATGTGCATGGTGTCTCTGTTGCTCAATGAAAACATAATCTGAATGAACTAATTTCTAAGTTAAGTGGAAAAGCCTAGACAGTTTTTAAGTTGCTGTGAAGGCACTGAGACTAAGTAAGCAACGCCACAGCCTCCTACAGATTATGGGACATCAGAGACAATTTTTTGTTGCATGAAGTGGAAAGTAATCCCCTTGCTAAAATCCCCTGATAAAATGATGTGGTGAGAGAATGCCACCACCATATGCAGACTACTTACAATTTCGCTCTTTTCATTCAATAACTGTAGGAAAGGAAAATATCCTTTGATTACTCCTACATAAGGGAGCAATCCACAACACTAACAGGATAAATATTTTTCATTATGCAGCAGTAATTAGGGATGTC